TGAAAATTGAGGAAAGTGGAAAAACGAAAAAAGTGAAAAAAGTGAAAAAAAAAATTTGAAAATTGAAAAAATTGAAAAAAACAGAAAAGTGAGAAAAAAAAAGAAAAAAAAATAGGGTCTAGAACACATTAGGTCCCTAAAAACGGAGAATTTTTCTATGTTCAAATTTGCATTGGAGCAATTATTAGGACATAATGAATCCATATATTTTTTTATATGGATGCGTTCATTTTTTTGATAAACAATATATTATTTAAATATACAGGGTGTCCTAAAAAGATACCGACAAACTTTAAAGGGTAGTAAGGGACATCAAAACAAAAAACAAGCATTTTTGTTTACATAAACATAATATGTCCGCAAATGAGCCATTTGGGCTGTAGAGCAAAAAAAATTTTTGGTACTTTTATTCTTCGCAATAATTAAATCACTGTTTACTTATTAATTTTGCTTATTTATTAACAAATAAATTATGGTTTACAATAATTGTTCAAAATGTTGACCATTTACTTCAATGGAAAGATTGCACCGCTAGGTCATTAATAGACAACTACTAAGTTAATTGAGGAAACTAATCACAAATTAGGTAGGAATTTTCAAAATGTCAGTAAAAAAACCAGTAAAAAATCAATAAAATCGGTAAAAAACCTCAAAAAAACCCTTTCCATAATCATTAAATATTGTAAATATTTACCAAGGTGATATGCTGATTTTGTCATGAAATAGAAATCTATTAAAGTAAACAAAATAAATCAACAAAATAATAATAATTGTAAAAAATCACTAGTCACTAATGCCTTATATCCTCTCGCTTCTCAACCTTTGACACAGATCAATAAATAATATCTATTCTTATCAGCTTAATATCGCTATACCTATCAAAGATGCACAATCAACAAAGAAAAAAATTAAATTAAAAAAATCATAATTTGATAAATATTCAGGGATCCATATTTTTTTTCTCGCTAACCATCTTGAAATTGCTTTGTTAATCAGTAATAATCAAAATCATATTGAAAATCGAAGGGACATAAAGTGATCAATCACCAAAAAATAAATTTTAAATTGAAAAAATTGAAAATTGAGAAAATTGGAAAAACGAAAAAGTGAACAAAAAAAAATTTGAGCCACGCCCCTCCAAACCCCGCGCCTTTCAGTGCCACGCCCCCACTTTTTTCCCCCACTTTTGCCCGCCTCTTCCCTTTAGCGCCACGCCCCTCCAAACCCCGCCCCTTTTGGTGCCACGCCCCTCCAAACCCAAAAAAGAAAAAAATGAAAAAAGGGGAAAAAAAAAAATTGAAAATTGAGAAAATTGGAAAAACGAAAAAAGTGAAAAAAAAAAAATTGAAAATTGAGAAAAGTGGAAAAACGAAAAAAGTGAAAAAAGTGAAAAAATAAATTTGAAAATTGAAAAAATTAAAAAAACGAGAAAAGTGAGAAAAAAAAAAAAAAAAAAAATTGAAAATTGAAAAAATTGGTAAAACGAAAAACGTGAAAAAAAAATAAATTTAATTGAAAAAATTTAAAAACGAAAAAAGTGAATTTTTTTTTTTAAAAAAAATTGAAAATTGAGAAAATTGGAAAAACGGAAAAAGGAAAAACGAAAACGCCACGCCCCTCTAAAACCCGCCCCTTTTAGTGCCACGCCCCTTTAGCGCCACGCCCCTCCAAACCCCGCCCCTTTTAGTGCCACGCATAAGGTAGGTACCTTTTTACTAAAACGATGAAATTTCAAATTTTTTTTGTCGGGATTTTGTGTCCTAATGGTCCCTCGTGATACCCTGAACTCCGTAAACTAAACTATTCTCAGATTTGAAGCCGAAATTTATGAAAGAAGGCACTCAGAAAAATTGATAAATCACCACAATTGCTTAGCGCGATTTTATCTCAGGAATTATAAGTGCAAATGAGCTGAAATTTTCAGGGATTGTAGTCCTGTGAAAAGGATAATTTTCAGTCAAAGATTCAGCTTTCCATGTATAATAGAAAAAAAGTTTGTCGAGATTTTGTGTCCTAATGGTCCCTCGTGATACCCTCAACAAAACATCATTTTGAAACTGGCCACCGTTTCAAATTTGATGAAGTTAAAATGGTAGACTCTGAACCTCAGATTTATAAGCGAAAGGTGAGCGAGATGATTCACATAAATTTAAACAATACAGTAAACATTAAAATTGACACAACAGACAGACTTAGTGGTGTTTACAACAACATACTACAAACCTATAAAAATGTCAACAACATTGAATAATAAGTTCCTTTTTAACATACTGTGATATCTTTGTGATTATAATTAATTTTGGTGATTGTTTGTAACTAGTTTTATGCCTTGTTTGTGACAATAGTTTATTTTATTTTATTTTATTTTATTCTTTATGTTTGTCTACACAAACTTAGTTTATAACTAATTGTAGGGAATTTTAATCACAATTAGTAGCTTCCTTTTAATTTCAAATTTGTCTGCATGTTTTCCTTGTTAGTACTGGTTACATTGGTTTGTTATTTAAGTTTAGTGTTCAGTTATTTTAAAGCTTTTTAATTTTATATTTTATTATTTTAAATTCAGTTTGAATGCTATGCAATACATTTTAATAATGACAAAAGTTTCTTTCTGAAACGAATTAACAATTTCTCTCTTAATTGAAATAATTTGTAAACGTCTCCTTTCAAATGGTTTCTGTTCAGGAGTCTCATCAATCATCACCCATCACTAAAAGAAATTTCGATGATAAAAATGTTTAATTAGCCCATCACTACTACTAATATAACCTCACAAAATCAGATGTGAAAATCAGTTAGCTTTCAAATTCAAATTCAAAATAACGATTTTTTTTTTAAATTGATTGCATCCCTGAAATAATATGATGAGAAGTGCTTTTGTCCATCCTGAACGGACTCCAGAAGCAATAGTTTAAGTAAGTACTGAAAGAAACGATTTATTTAATTTTTTAAATTTATTTATTTATTTTGGCTGAAAAGTTGTAATTAACTCACAACAGTATATTTATTGTTTTACTAAGTGCTTGTATTTCTCTTTTCCAGGGCTTGAAAAAGGAAAAATATATTCCGAAACGTTGCCGAAAGCTTGATGGTTTCTTTTTTTTTTGGTCCTGTCCTCTAACCCACGAAATTAAAACAAATTTTTACAAGGACACGAAATGATCACAATAAAATTTACAATTAAACACAAGTAGCTTCAAACGCTACAAGCGTTTGCAGGACTCCCAGGAGAACGAGTGATCCGTCTTTATTACTTATATTATCATTTGTACCCACATAACAAAATTGCATCCTTAGAATGTATTAAGAATGTTCTTTTTCTAGGAGGAATGTGCCTAGAATGTTCGCCAAAACCATTGCGAATGTCCTGAGAATGTTCTGAGAAAAGATTGTAGAAATACTGTTTGCAATACCCAAGAACTTCCTGGGAAATCCATTAGGATATTCCTAGAATATACCTATGAGATTCTCAGTACATCCTGAAAAGAATATTCCTGTTTGATTCTAAAAATATACTCGAAATGTATATTCTCACATTCAAACAATGTTTCTATGACATTATAGTTATGATCTCAAAAGAATATTATACCAATATGCTTGAAATATTCTTAGAATATATCTACATATATCATTCTCAATATGCATCCTAGAAATAACATTCTTGGTTGATTCTAAGGATATACTTGGAATGTTAATTTTCGCTTCCAAATATTGCTCCTTTCAGCCCTTTTATATTAAAGGCAGTGGAAAACACAAGTATTTAACCAAAGCTCCGGTTTCGAGCTTGTTATGCTCTCGTCGAAGCACGCCAACTGAGGGAAACAGGTTCCAAGGTGATTCAAATGCGAGGCAAGATGTAGATCTTTAATAGCGCGTGGCTCCCTCTCTTGGAAGTCTTACAAAGAAGAAGAAAAAAAATATACCTATGATATTCTTAGTAGATTCTAGATAGAGCATTATTGTTTAATTGTTAAATTAAGATTTTTGAGTCAGAACTTTAGATAATTAGGTGAACAATATGAAAATATTTTTATCATGGTTACCTACCTACATAAACTTCTCAGCACAACTTGGTAGGAATATTCTTAATACTTGATAGAGATATTAGCCGGAAGAACATTTTTTAAGGTACATTATAATAATGTTCGTATGACAATATTCAAAGATTGTTATATAAAGTAGGTTCTTAGCACAATCTTTCAGGTAGGTGCATAGAAGCAACATTCCTAGTACATAAATAGAACGTCCAAAAATGAGTATTTCAATCGAAACAATCTTAGAATATTCATTAGACATTCCTAAAAGAACATTCCAAAAAGCACTTTGAGGGAATATTCTGAGAATATGAATGTTCTTTCACTGTTATGTGGGTAATCATTAAGAAAGACGGAACACTCGTTCACCTGGGAACGCTGCTCCGCTGTTTCAAGAATAAGGACCCAGGACTGCCATGTCAACTGGAACGGCTCTCGGCAGTCTTGTGTAACATGGTCGAAAGATAGTGTAATAATCACGGGATACAGGATCTCGGTGAATCCGGACAAAACCGAATAAACGTGGGCCTGGAAGGTCTCACGCTCTTTAGATCGAGACTTGCTTTTTCCCGTACTGTCAAATATCTGAAATATCTAGGAGTCATCATATAACGACAACCCTGTATAGGTGTGATTGATGTTGGATTATTCTAATACCTTCCGTAGTCTGGATACACGGACTGTATCGTATGCTTTTTGTAGGTCCACAAATGTGAGGTGGATTTCCGAATGTCTAGCAGATCTCTTTGCTATGACTCGTTTTACGATGTCTGTACCTGATATTCCTGCTCTCAAGTCGCACTGCTCTTCTTCTTCTTCTTTCCTATATAATCTTCAATGAGAATACGCAGGATTCTACCGTATAGTCTGCTTAATGTGCTTGTGACTAATATGCCCCGATAGTTAAGTAGGTATTAATAATTATTTATAGGGGTTTTTAGTAAAGTAAAACACACAATATAGGTAGGTAATTTAAATTTTATATTTCCTAATATTACAATAGCTATTTACAAAATTCAAATCCGTTTTAAGGTTAACCAAAATCCACCATCTGCTGTAGGAATGAAAACAGGCTCCAATTTTAAAGGAACTTTCATTTTCTTACCAAGCTCAACTTTAAAATTCAGTAACAGATGATATATCAAAACCTTTACTTCTAATAAACCAAATCTATTACCAATACAGTTTCTAGGCCCAGAACCAAATGGTAAATATGTATATGGCTCAATATTATCTTTGTTTTCGTCTGAAAATCTCTCTGGATCAAATTTTTCAGGGTCTGGGAAATATTTCGGATCGCGCATCAAGCCTCCAATTGGTAACATGAGTATATCTCCTGGCTTTAAATGAAGGGGCCTTTCATGGGGCAATTCTGGCTCGATTATGTATGGTTTGGTAACTACTCTGTCTATACCTCCTGCTGGGGGCCATTTTCTCAATATTTCTAAAAGGAACGTTTGCAAAATTGGAAATATAATATTCTAGTTAACATAAGTGCAATTGGTAAATTGTAAATAAAAATAGTAAGTTAACTCGATTTTTTTTTTTTTTTGAAGGACCATCAGAATTATTAGTATTAGGGTTTTACCCGGCAGGTAGACAACTACAGAGGAAATCTTAATTCAAGTAAGTAGGTAAATTCCTAAATTAAATAGAATTGAACATAATATACTCAACCGCTAATCAATCACATCATGGGAAATTATAATAGCTAAGAGGGCAAGAGAAAGATTTGTCTAACTTAAAAAAAGTCACACAGGGTCAAAGACATTGGGCTCGATTCATTCATCTGTATAACAAGTAGGTACCTAGCTATGTATTCTTCTTTGTTCTATAATATTTTCAAATTAATAACATTTACAATGCTGCAATTAATTGAATAGATATGAATTACTCACTAGAAAAAAACATGGAAATTCGAAAAAGTAGATTTTCGACTATATTTTTCTATCAAACATTGGAGTCATAGTTTAGAAATAAATAAAAAAATCTGAAAAATTCGTATCCCAGCAAACACGCTGTCGTCATAATGACGTGACTAATTGGATTTAATTTACGTCATTGGAACTAAAAAGTTGACGTCATTATGACGAAAAAATGACGGGTTAATGTCAAAGCCCCATGAAGTCATTCTGTTACGACAAAATGACGTCTCTCTGTGACGAAATTGGGTAGGGACTTATGACGAATATATGACGTAATCTGTGACCGTGAAATCACAAACGGAATAAATTTCCTCTTTGTTTTTTTTTTTAATCATGATAATAAACTATAGAGCTATTGCTGATTTACGTAGCCTGTGCATCAGCTTGCAGGTGAATTAGATGCTATTTCTGCTCTGCAAACTAAAGTTTAAATGGCGGCCACCAAACGTGATTTCTCGGTTAGGTACAGCCAATTTTTATTCACTATAGAAATAACTGTTGTCACACACAAATTGCACCCAAAAAAATGCCATTTTTGACACCACCACAAAGCCACAATCAGTCTTCACAATACACTTAAGTATAAGTGTAAGAGTATAAGTATAAGAGAAATTATTATTCGAGTTTCGGTCCCTTCCGATCTCGCTTTCGCAGTCATTTGTGCGGCACCTCGTCCACCGCCGCCAAATCAGGTTTCACCACGCTCCGACGCGCGGCGCTGTCCGTCAAGATGGAGTCTACCATTTGTAAGCGCGTAATTTAAAGTATGTTTATAGTTTCTTTGTGGATAATATGTAGGTATGTATACCTTTCGGAAAATAGCAGATAATTAAAAAACAGGAATTATAATTAATTACGCAGAAAGTTTCCGTTTTTTCGAGATTGAATAAATTTATACCTATTAAAATTATTGATCAACTATAAGGGCGGCTAAATTATAAATTGGAAATTGATATCTTAGATGACAAAATAGATATGTTTTTTCCTTACCATTTAATGACGACAAAATGTCATAATTGAATGTTGTGATTGAGACGACCTAATAATGACGTATTTATTGAAGTCATTATTAGGTACCATGACGTCGGAGACCAGTGCGGAACAAAAAATCACGTCAAATGTCGTCATATCGACGTCAGTGTGTTTGCTGGGATATGTAGGTAAAAAAGTCGTACCTAGATAACATTTTCGACTATAATTTACTTTTTCTATCAAACATTGGAGTCACAGTTCCAAATACGCTGCTGAGCGAGTATAGCAGCGACGAATTGGCTACTTACTTAAAACTTAAAAAAAAATACTAACCACAAACAACCATATCCAAATACTTCATTTTCAATAAAATAGCATAAGTTATTTTCCCATGATTCGCTTTATTGGTTTTTACTATTTCGTCTCTAAGTTTATCTTGGACGCTATTGTTTAGAGCCAATTCGTATGATCCAAAGCACATGACAGTGGCAATGGTATCAAATCCACCAAAAAAGAAAATTACAGCTTGTGCGGCAATATCCAGATTAGTTAGAGCTATTTGTTTAAAATTAGCTAAAATTGTTAGAAAATTATATGTATAGGTATTTTGGTCTTAAATATAGTTAAGTACCACCTACCCATATCTGCTGATTCTTCTACAGAAGCATAACTAGTCTCGATAGATTCAGTCTCTTCATTTTTGCTATTTTTTTTGTTGGCTTCCATTAGAAAATGTATCAAGTCTGGCCTTACAAGCCCCTGTTCCTTCCTGACTTTAATATTATCGTAAATAATAGACTGGAAGAATTTGGAAACGTCTGATGGAAATAGACTAACTTTTAAAAGCTAAAAAAAGTTGTGAAGATTGTATTCCATGTTTTCATGATAAAGAACCCGACCGAACCTCTAAACCAAGTTAAATAACCACAACCCATTTGAGATACTTAATTACATGACGTGTAATCTACTTCACGTTATGAAAAAGTAATGTATCAGCTCATTTATAGTTTCAAATACAAGCTAAAGATACGAATTTATGACGCTTGTGTTGCATGTTATAAATGCATCTATTATAATAATCATTGTTATTGTACCTTAAGAAGAGATGGAAAAACCATATATCCTAAAAATTTAATTCTTGATATCAGTCCATTAAGATTCGTAGCTCTTTTGCCCATAAGATAAAAGTCATTTTCCGGTTCGTTGAGAGAATCTACTTTGATTCCAAACGCCATAGTGGCTATAACGTCATTGGTGTATCTAAAAAATACCTAGGTAGGTAATTCTAATTTCCATTATGATGAGTCATATCCTGTAAGTAGGGCCTTCTAATTTATTAAATATATTGTTACAAATTCCGATGCGCTTTCGCCACGGTATCCAGAATACATGCCGAAATTCCAGAAAAAGTAATATATCGACCAAAAGAGGTTTCAGAATTACCGGATAATACTTCCACCTGTCACGAAACGCGTTACACAGCCATATCACGAATCCGAAGAAGGAGTGGTGTTACTGGTAACGCGTTGAGTGTCAGGTAAAAGTATTAGGTAATCCTGAAAGATCGAGTGGTATTCAAAAGGTTATACAACGAACTAAACTTTAATAAACCAAGCGCGATAATCCCACTTATTAAGCCTCTCGTTTCATATGGGAATAATCTACAGTGAGTTGTATAATCGCTGTATTCTGGATTCCACATGAATAGATTTACGGATATATAAAGGCCGGTATTAATTAGTAGTTTAAGTTTGGCTTTTTTAAGATTTATATAGTGATTATTGTTGAGAGTTGTAAAGAGTTTAGTTGTTTGAGTTAATTAGTGTCAGAGTGTATAGTAACGTGGAATAAATTATTATTGTGTTAATTGGACTTTGATCACATAAGTGAAAAAAAGGTGCTTTACGCACGTATTGCATACAATTTTTTTCTACTACCAATCAAATATGTGTACCAAATAAATTTAGACGATTAGTTTAGGCACTAGTGCGTAAAGAATTTTCACTCTACGCACTAGTGCGTGGAGTAATTTACCAGGAAAATACTAAATTGACAGCGTTGATATCTGTCATTGACATTACTTTACGCACTAGTGTGTGAAGTGAATTACTTTACGCACTAGTGCGTGAAGTGAAACTTTATACTCAACCAAATAGTAGCATAAATAAAAAGAAGTTGTTCTTTGATTTAATGAACAATTCATTAAAATCGGTCCAAAGAACGGCTTCTTTGATCACATGAACTCTACGTTATTGAAGTATGAACAATTTCTTAATTCCTATTTCGATTCATCTTGTGTATGAACAACGAACATTAAGGTATGTAGCAAGGTTTTTGTATTAATGAAACTTTTCATAGTAACAATAAACATCGTTCTTAGTTAATATGTACTTTTTCATTGTCCTGATGAACAGACGGCATAATATTAATGAAGCCCAGATATAATTTGATGAAACCCTTTCATTGTATTTATGAATCACAGTCTTGAATACTAAGAATTTCATTCATTGTATTTATTAATGACGTTTTCAATAATATGTACTATATTATTTATTTTTATTAAAATAATTTCATGAATTATGCCTTAAATATACTTATGATTTTAAATGGGGTAAAGGGTCATTTTTTATATTTGCGTGTCCCCTGTACTGATGAATATGAGCAATAGGAAGAAAGCTTTTAAAGCAAAAGTTGCATAGTTTCTTCGTATCATCTTCCAGAATTGTCAAACAAACCAATGGGCATCCCAAAATCTGAAAATTCAAAAATCTAAGTAGGTACCTACTTATGTATTTTTATTTTAAATGACACTAACCGTATATTCTACTATCTTTCAAATCCTCCTTAAATCCTGTTTCCATAAATATATAATATATCTATATTTGTTCCAGCTGTTTTTGGACTATCAACATCCAAAGTTTCTTAAACAAGCCACATCAGAAAATTAGATTTGATCCCTTGGCTGGTTTCCTTGCCTCGGCTATGAAACACTAGCTGCGGTATTGAATCTTCTGCTTTTCTACCTAGTGAAACAAAACCATTTAACAAAAATATATCGATTAAAAAAATTACAACTTGATTTGAGATTGGGTATACTTACTTTTAGAGACTTCAGTATTCCTTAGAAATTCTGAGGAGCTCTTGACGCTTTTGTCTTTCACGTTCTCCCCGGATGACATTTAAATCTGTAGGTCATTTCTTTCGCATTCCCATTTTGAGACTAGACCATCTCCGTGCAAGGCATCAAAGTCCTACCTACATAATAGGTATACATATTATAGAGGTAATAGAGGTATATAACTTACCTTTAGAAAAAACCGGCGACAGGTATAATCGACTTTCTATTTAACACTTCGAACAACACAAAACCGAAAAAACCGACTTGAACGAAGTACGTAGCAATGCACCCAGAAAATAGAAATGTAATTATTCCTATTTCAACATATTTTTCTATGTCGTTGCCCGACTGCAGCTACCTTTGCGCATGTGCTTAGGAACTGTCTACATTAATGCTATGAACTGTTTCATTGAATTTATGATTTATCTTGATGTAATGGTTGCAGCTTTGTTTCTAGGAATACTTGCTTGTTTTAAATGAACCGTACATTGTATCAATGAATTTCGTTCTTAAAAGGATAAGTTTCTAGTAAGGTTATATGAACCATATTCATATTATTCATGTTAATATTCATTTATATTATGAATATTCCGTGGAAGCTCCCATCAAAGAAATTTTCTTTAATATCAAGGTTTAATTTCATAATATCAATGAACTTAGTTCTTGTAACCGATGCACTATTCAACATAGATTCATGTAGATGACTATTCATAACTTAATGAAGCTTCATTCTTTATTTTAATGATAGCTGTTCATGAAATCATAATACTTACAGTTTTCTGTACTTGGGTTTAATGAAAATTTCACTGAATCAATGAAAATGTAATTTATGAAAGCAGTTCATTGATATTATGATCAAGATTTTTTTGAGTGTACGTCTTCCGAAAAGTGCGTAAAGTGAGTACTTTACGCAGAGTAGTAGAAAAAGTATTATTTATTAAATTGATTTTATTACATTTTTGAATTTATTTTTTATCATTTGACAAATTTTTAAAAAATAAAAGGAATAAAAAGTTGTTGCTCTGGGGCGGGCAATTGCCCCCTTTGTCCCTCCCTGGATACGCCACTGTGACGAAATATCATGGGCGTGAAGTTGATCGGGACAATCAACCTTCAGAGGAGGGCAGTGTTACAAATTACGATGCGCTATCGCCACGGTATCCAGAATACATGCCGAAATTCCAGAAAAGGCCTACTTTTTCTCGGGCATGGGATTATCGCGTGTATTCTGGATTTAACATGAATAGATTCACGGATATATAAAGACCGGTATTAGTTAGTAGTTTAAGTTCAAGTTTGGCTGTGTTAAGATTTAGATACTGATTATTCTTAAGAGTTGTAAAGAATTTAGTTGTTTCAGTTAATAAGTGAAGTACCTAATTAGTGTTAGAGTGTATAGTAACGTGGAATAAATTATTGTTGTGTTAATTGGACTTTGATTTTGGACTCAAGATTTCTGTCACGCAAGCTAGAACCGTGACAGTACTATAAAGGTGATTTACATAGCCCAATGAATGGGTCTTTTTTTTCTCAATATGTTATTGTCGAACGAAATTTCGAATAGGGAGCAAAACATGGAATCATGGAAAATACAAAAACTCTAAATTAGGTTCATCATTAACCTTGTGTAGGTGTCTTTCATTTCAACTTCAAGTGAATCCTCATTTTGATCTAAAAAATAATTGACAAAACCCTCGGCAGCTTCGTTCATTAAATTGAACAAAATTTTCATTTTACTGCTTGTAAATGTTCCACTTACTGTAGCCCTCATTTCTCTCCATTTTTGACCTTTTAAAAAACAATATAATAATCAAGAGGTTAAAAAATGAAACCAATAACCTGTTAAAGAAAACAAATTTGCTCCCCAGAGTGGATCAGCTTCAGGATCAACAAACGGTCTGTGATCAGTAAAATGATCAAAATCTTTTATAGTTATTTGTTTGATCAACTTCGGATCTCTGATCATTAATGTTGGAAGGGCAAACTGATAAAATCCCGAATATCTGAAACAAATTCAATCAGTGTTTATAAACGATAATTTGAATGAAATTGTTATAAACTTACCTTTCATTTGGAAATTGATTGTATACCCATTCATAAAATTCATTAAAACTCATATATTTAAAAGCGGTAAGCCACTGATCACCGAAAAATGGCCATGGTGTCGTCTGCTTTACGCCAATTTCCGTGAAATGGTTCATCGGTTTGAACCATTTGTACCATATTGAAAATCCTAAGATACCTATTAAAATTAACGAAATCATTTTTCAATGTAGAATTCCCAATCTGAAACAAAATGCATTTCATTATACATATATGATACTTTTGCCAAGGAACTTTCTTCTAAGAGAAAAAAATAATAGGAATTTTTTTTGTTTACAGTAGGAAATTGCATAGGTACCTACTAATAGTAGGTGTATAGGTGTAATTTCATTTCACAATGGATAGCAATTTTTCAAGAAAAGAATACGACCGCGAAATCCAGGAAGTTCCTCTAGAAGTTACGTAGGAATAGTACCTATATGTTTCAAATTTTTTAAAAAGCATTGTGGCTTACGGGCCAAAAAAAAACTGAAAATGCGATTTTCTCGGTTTTATCTTAAGAAAAAATTTCGAAACAGCCTAATGAATAAAAATCAAGCAATTACTTGGAGCAATTGCTATCTAGCAAAAGCAATTGCTGTATTAGCAAATGCTACAAGTAAAAGCAATTGCTAGATCTTGATATGAATAAAATGTTCTAGCAAATGCTGCTTTGTCCAACATCTCGCTAGCAATTGCTTACCTATAGAATTAATAAATAAAACCAAATGAAAATCTATACTAGTGAACATTTCTTCAGCGTTGCATGTTGCTTGCACATTGATGCTTGGAAAGCCTTTCCTATTAATGTTTATCCCCATAACTCCACCAAATTTAGGAATTCTGACATGGATGCAATCTATAACTCCCACTGCATTTGGAAATGTATATTTGTCTGACCACTGTTTATTTTAACAATACTTTCTGGAAATTGAATCCATCCATGAGGTATTCTCAGGATGCAATTTATAACACTATCGTTGATTTTGGAAACTGTGGATTGGTTTATTCCAATTTCTTTCGCTACCGAGTTTTGAAATCCAGGATCTGCTAGATCGCGAAAATACTTTCACTTGAGTTAGCGGTGAAAGTGCTCCTTCACGTCTTTCGCCAGTATAGTATAAAAAATGATTAGCTAACCATTCTACGTTTCCATTATTGAACCTATAGTTTTTTAAAATCGTACTCTTGACAATTTCTTCTCACAGAATTTTTTGCGTGAATATAATGCATTCAGCCATTTCGTAGAAGGTGAGCAAAAGCTTTCACACTGCATGAAGCTAATATCGCAACTAAATAGTTATTTAAACAACAAGTTTTGAAAACGATTTTTTTGCTTGCTCTATTTCGAGCACTCCGGCTACGCCGTCGTGCTCGAAAAATCGCGCGTGTTTTAAAGACCTTAATATCCACTTATACCATTAAACAACAAGTTTTGAAAACGACTTTTTTCGCACGGCGAGACAGTTTGTTGGACCGAGCCGTAGGCGAGTTCCACAAGTCGAGCAAGTGTGAAAAAAGGTTTTCAAACGAGTTTTTTACAATGCTTTTCCTACAACTGCAAAATAGAAAAACCAAATATGTAATTTTTATTTGCTAGAAAACAAATAATCAACATCAGAAATTGGTGATAATCGCAATTTATGTCATGTCATGTTAGGATGATATAGGACCAAAATAAATAGAAAACTAATAAATAGCAGCGTGTGAAAAACTTTTTTGCAGGCTGTGTGAAAAAATCTATTTTCAGAGGTTGCCTAACCTGTGAAAGACTTCATTTTCAGGGGCAGTTATAGGAAAAATTATTTTAAGCATGGTCTAGGGCATCCTTAACTATTTTTAAGCGATTGCTTGAAAAATTAAGCAATAGCTAATTTTATCCATACGCATACGGTTTCTAGCAAAACCTTGTTTATTTTAAGCAAAAGCTGTCTCTCCTAGCATTTGCTTGTGCTCTAAGCAATTACTTATAGAGCTCTAGCATTTGCTTACCATTTTATTCATATAATTAGAAGCAATTGCTCCAAAAACCCAAGGAAAAGCAATTGCTTATTGTTTATTCATCAGGCTCTGTACTTGTGTGTATACACACAAGGTACTTTTCTGTTCTGATAGCTTGTTTACCTTAACCTAGCTATAATACTGTGGTGTAAATATGAAAAGTACCTAAACAAAAATTTTCGCAATTTCTTCCTACGATGAAACCGAGAAAATAGCATTTTTAGTTTTTTTGATGCTCCCAAAAATGTTTAGAAATAATATTAGATATATCTACGTAACTTTTAAAAGGAATTTTTAGATTTTCAGGTAATTTTGTAGTACCTACTCGTTACTCGTTAAATGGTGCCCTTTTGTATTGTATAAGTCTAATTTTGTATTACCTTCGGTTTTAGAATCTCGAAAATATTAGGTTTCAACACAAACACAATTTAGCTTGTGACAGTTAACCGTCCTTAGAAAGAATATAATTTCAACACTATAAAAAGTAATCAACTTTTAATCCAATAATATTTCATTTAGGAACAGTCATTGAAAGAAACTGCGTTGAAAGTGACCACAATTTCGTACCCACTGACACAAACAAAGTGATTATTAAGGAACCAGCGATTATAGCGTTTATTACGAGGCAAATTGAAATTTATATCTGAATAATATTTCTTATCGGTTAGTTTTTTTAAATAACCAATTTATCTAATTCTGGTGAAATAGGTACTTAATTCTCCTCTTTAACCTTGTGATTTGGACCCCGGACTCAAAGGAAGATTAGTCGTAAATGACCTAAAGAGGAGTTTTATTGGAAATTCTTTCCAGAAGATTTGAAACTCACCTACCTACCTATTGGTATTCTTATAGTTTCGCTACCGAAGATGTTTCAGTTCCGGAACTTTCACTAAAATAGCAGCTAGTTTGCAAACTAACCCAGAGTCTTGGAACGACTTAAAAAACATGAAATAAATAATAGTTCAATTATATAGTTTAGTGTACCTACTGTACTTCTGAAGTTTCTAATTAGATACATGTACAGGGTATAGGGTATTTGATTATAATTAGGCCCATAGCTACAGCCCTTACTATTTGAGATAGAAAAAAAATACTATATTTTCTTTTTTCTACACGAGCGTACGGGAAGAGTTTTCTTCCCGCACTGGTGCAGTTAGAGTTTGAAATAATCATTGTGACATTGAATTGTTTGTATTGTTAATACATCTTTACCTTTACCTTTACCTTTTTTTTATAAATCTGGGGGCACTACCGTGCCCCCCGCCAAGTTCGCGCCCCCCGCCAAGTTCGCGCACTACTGTATACCATACAATAATGTGGTTTTGTCGATCCGAGTAGGTTCTCAATGTAGTATTTTCAATTGTTCGGGTAGGATCGGAAAAAAAAAACGCAGAAGTCTGGTTTTTAAAAAAGTCGACGTTTCGCAAAATTTATTTGCATCTTCAGGACACTGTAATGATAAAAAATAAAAGGGTTCTTTACAAACTTAGATGATGAACTACAAAAATACAAAATACAAACAAAAACAAAGCTATCCTCCGATTTCGCACTATATAACTTGAATAAATATTTCATAAAAACAGAAAGAAAATAGCAGAATTACATGAAACCTTCAAATAAATTATACATTATATAAATATATATAGGTATATTGTAAGTGGGGAGAGTAGCATCATAAAACATAGAAAAAATACTTATAGTTAACAAAAGGTAGAGAAATTGACTTGATTACTTACATTTAAATTAGACTTTCCTTGTCATTGTTGTTCAACAGATTTACATAGGTATAGAGGATTCTCGAAAACATAGTTAATAAAAAAAAAACACACACACAATTACGTAGCACAACAATAACAATTTAAAATTTAAAAAAGCAAAAATAACAAACTTTACACACTTCAAACGAAAGATAAAAAAAAAAACAAAAATTAACCATTCATCAAACAGAGATGTTATTCAAAAATTAATAACATAAATTATCTTTCTAAAATAAGCTTTTAGGACGCAATTGTGCGTGTATTAGAACAGCTACATACACGTACTGATTTTATTTAGCGTCATCGTTAATAGGATGGGAAACAAAAAACTGAATACCACACATTCCAACGCTAATATCTTGAGGGTTATTTAATTGTTGCTAATATATTAAAATATGCATTACTAAGATGTTCTATATCGGTTCTTTTGTTAACACAATTCTTATTTTTATGGATTTCAATCATCTCCGCTATCAACCTTTTTTTGTAATTGGATTGTGTTTGTAAAATTGTTGTATTGTCATATTCAAAATCATGTCCAGTTTCTATTTTATGTTCGACTAGAGCTGTTGGATTCGATCTTAAGAGGTAATTCTTCTGATCATTTTTATGTTCTCTCAATCGTGTTTTTAAATACCTACCAGTTTGGCCTATGTAGCATTTATTAGATTGGGAACAAGGAATGTTATAAACTACATTCGATTTATTTAGCTTTTTTGTGCTGGACTTAGTCTTGGAATAAAAGCAGTTCTTCACTGTATTCTGACTTTTCATCGCAATATTAACTCTTTCTCCTCTCACTAATATCCCCACAGATGTAGTAGTAAATATAGTTAGGAAGTGGCATCTTATAGAAAATGAGGTTAAAATTCTTTTGATCAAGTTTATCGAGTTGTTGGAGTTCGTGTTTGAGACTAGTTATTTTCAGTACCAAGAAGAGTTCTATAAACAAATATATGGCTTAGGAATGGGTAACTGTTTGTCACCAGTCTGTTCCGATTTAGTGATGCAAGATCTTCAATAATTACCCTGTATCGCTTGTTAAGAAAATTATTAACAAAACAATTTCAGCAAGAGTTGTACCTAAACAAAATGAACCATTCACGTTCTGTAAGCTACCTTACATTAGTAACCTGTCCGAAAGAATACAAACCATATTCAAAGATCAGGTTACTAAGAGAGGAGAAAGAGTTAAGATTGCGATGAAAAGTCAGAATACAGTGAAGAACTGCTTTTATTCCAAGACTAAGTCCAGCACAGAAAAGCTAAATAAATCGAATTCCTTGTTCCCAATGTAATAAATGCTACATAGGCCAAACTGGTAGGTATTTAAAAACACGATTGAGAGAACATAAAAACAATCAGAAGAATTACCTCTTAAGATAGAATCCAACAGCTCTAGTCGAACATAAAATAGAAACTGGACATGATTTTGAATATGACAATACAACAATTTTACAAACACAATCCAATTACAAAAAAAGGTTGATAGCGGAGTTGATTGAAATCCAGAAAAATAAGAATTGTGTTAACAAAAGAACAGATATAGAACATCTTAGTAATACATATTTTAATATATTAGCAACAATTAAATAATAACCCTCAAGATATTAGCGTTGGAATGTGTGGTATTCAGTTTTTTGTTTCCCATCCTATTAACGATGACGCTAAATAAAATCAGTACGTGTATGTAGCTGTTCTAATACACGCACAATTGCGTCCTAAAAGCTTATTTTAGAAAGATAATTTATAGTCTAGGAGGCAGTGACGATTTTCGGTACTTATTTTCCCAGTCAGAAAAGATGGATAGAATTGTAGGGTTAGTAATTCTAAGCAAAATACATATATTTTTAGGGGGGGTTTTCCGATGGGTTGAGGCGCAAAATGCGTTAAAGCTTACCAATACACGGTTCTTTTTTTTCTCAGTGATAAAAATAGCTCTACTAATGAGAAGTATACTGACGTTACTTAAAAAAATAGTCCGGCTAATCTGTGAGTATGGATAATATGTCTGGCAAGTGAAAAATTGAAGATCCTAAAAATTTCAGCCAGACTCACTTTCACTATCTGAGATAAGCCAAATTGCTATTTTCATGTACTTTATGTTCTATTGTAGTAAATGTGAAATATTTATATCTCGGAAAATAAGCCTACTTGTATTTTTCATCGATCTTGTGAACCCATCCGAAAATTTTAGCCAGACTCAAAAATTCTTGCTTTGTATCACCAGGAGAACAAACTATTTAATAGACACCAACTGGGAAAATAAGTGCTGAAAAATTTCACTGCCTCCTGGACTATTATGTTATTAATTTTTGAATAACATCTCTGTTTGATGAATGATTAATTTTTGTTTTTTTTTATCTTTCGTTTGAAGTGTGTAAAGTTTGTTATTTTTGCTTTTTTAAATTTTAAATTGTTATTGTTGTGCTACGTAATTGTGTGTGTGTTTTTTTTTTTTATTAACTATGTTTTCGAGAATCCTCTATACCTATGTAAATCTGTTGAACAACAATGACAAGGAAAGTCTAATTTAAATGTAAGTAATCAAGTCAATTTTTCTACCTTTTGTACACTATAAGTATTTTTTCTATGTTTTATGATGCTACTCTCCCCACTTACAATATACCTATATATATTTATATATGTATAATTTATTTGAAGGTTTCATGTAATTCTGCTATTTTCTTTCTGTTTTTATGAAATATTTATTCAAGTTATGTAGTGCGAAATCGGAGGAAAGCTTTGTTTTTGTTTGTATTTTGAATTTTTGTAGTTCATCATCTAAGTTTGTAAAGAACCCTTTTATTTTTAATCATTACAGTGTCCTGAAGATGCAAATAAATTTTGCGAAACGTCGACTTTTTTAAAAACCAGATTTCTGCGTTTTTTTTTTCCGATCCTACCCGAACAATTGAAAATACTACTGTATACCTTTTCTCGAAACATTTCAGGTCATTTTCGACCTACCTGTAACTCAGCTCTGAAGTGTTCTAGAAAACTGAAATTTTGCACAGTCGTAGACCTTTATAGACCTATTACTAAAATTAATTTTCATCGATTTCCATCAACCAACAAAAAAGTTACATGGCCTCAAAAAACGCCAATTTTGTCACTCACTTATATATGTATAGATCATTAAAATTCTAAGGTATTTCCAAATATGCTAGAAGGCTGAAATTTGGCATACTGATAGGAATTATGGCAAAACCCATGGAAAAAAACAAAAACCCTGAAAATGTGACCACTATCGTTAAACACAATAGTCTGGGGAACAGACAGACGGAGCTTCACCGTAATTCGTGATAAGGGCTAGTCTTTGTATGTTGGTATGTATTTTAAACGAAATTAGAGCTAATCCAAACGAACCTGTCCTCGTAATAATCCTCAAAAAAAATTAAAATTCCTAAGAAAAAAGGCAAAACTTAAAAAAAAGTAATGCCAAACAGAGCAAATCCAAACTAACCCGTTCTCTCAATATTCTTTAAGAGAAAAATAAATACTCTAAGAAAAAACAAAACTTGAAAAAAAAAGGATTGCTTTCAATTTCGAACCTGCGACCATTTGCTCCAAAAACAGTGCGTATGTGCAAGCTATGTGTGCGTATTTTAGCCGATCCTAAACGAACCCATTAAGATCGGTGCAACATTTTAGTGAATTTAGTACGGAGCTGCCTGCTCCCCAGACTCTTCTCTTAAATACACAGTCTGTTCGAAGCTCTTCCTAGTCCATATGTTGAACTCATCGCTTCAGATAACTTGAACTTTCCAAAATTTCTTCTAAAAAGAGCTCGCGAAGCGCTTAAAAAATATAAAGAGGATGGCTCAATGACAGCGTGATTAGAAG